TTTACGGACGTATTCTTTGATTGAATTTGGAATCAATTTTTGCTTATCAGAAGTTTGATGGATTATTTTTATTCTGCACAGAGTATTTTCAGCATGAATCTTTAATATTTTACAGTATGCGAAACGTGCTGAAGTGCCCGCTGCACAAAAAAGCTGCCGGTTTCCGCTTTTTCGCCGGCGCTGTCGACGTAATACCGCTTTAACGGGTTGACGCTTTTCAGAAGCAGCGTAATAAAGGAATTTTTGTCGCGGCGATAAAAAGCGGAAAAGAATGGCCACTGTCGAGCTAAGTAAGCTTGACCGCTGCTTTCTGTTCCCGACGTGCAGTTACGAAGTTTCCGCCAGAATTCGTGCCACCTCGATCGACTTTCGATAGCGATAGCGGAGAACAAAGGGGAATCTCGATAAACTACAGTGACTCGGCTAAGTGAAGTCTCATCTATGTGATAATGAACGATACGAATAAAATGGGGCCGCGAATCCCTTCCTTGAATCGAGAATTAATTCGCATTAAAAAACGCGGCCATTTATCCGAACAACCCGTAATGTGAATTACGTTTTTGCTTTCCAACGAATAGTCGGAAAATCGAGTAATTGACATGAAATATTTAAAGGACGCGAGTAAAACGCAAAATAACCCACGGGTATTTGGCAATGCGATGTAAAAGCTCTCGGCTGAATTTAAAATAAACGTTGCAAATATGAGAGCTGGCACAGTTAGAATGACGCGCGGGCAATGAAATTGCGGAATCCCTTATCATTATCGTTATTATTGTTATTATTATTATTGTCCTTATTATTATTGTCATTATAATTACAATTATTATTACATGCATCATGCGTCGATGAACATCAATTGCGTTGTCGCGCAATAAATCGCGGATGCTCTAGTATCAAACCTAATTTTAAAAGATCATATTAATTATTACCGTGCAACCGGATATTACGAGTACCTTGTCCAATTTCCAGGTGAACCTCTCTTTCCTCTCACTCCTTCCTCTCCTCCCTTTCCCTCCCAACGTGATTCCTATATGGAAAGTTGCATTTCGAGCGTTTAATTGATATTGTAGTTCTCGCAGTTTCGAATGAATCGGGAGATTCTCTACTTTTTTTCTAGAACCAGTCTATACTACATATCTTTTGTCCGCATCCCTTGTATCGCGGCCGCTATTGTTCCACAGCTTTCGCGATTAAAGTTTAAATTGTGAGCGAGCGGGCGTTCGGCGCAGTGGATGAGCTTGATGGAGAAACGGGCCGTTCGCGATTATACACGTGAAATGTGGAAGCCAAATATTTGATGGACATCGTAACTTTCAGTTGAATTCGCAGTCGTGCTGCAAAACAAAAATTTCCATTTTTCCCCGCTATTGCATGTCAAATTGCAAGTTACTATTTGGCGAAATCGAAACTTCGAAATGTACAGCGGAATAATAATTCTAACGATTTTAAAACGAGATTGAGATGCGATTTTGCAGCAATTTTATCATCATAATTTTTAACTGGATCTGATATTGTTGTTATAAACTAAATTATTATCATTAAATATAATTAATCGCTATATAATTTATCTCTTGATTATTTTTGGCATGCTCGTTAATTATTTTTTAAAATTAATTACATGTACGCATTTATTTACTATAAGATATTCCTACCATAATTTTATATAGTCTTTTTCCTTGATTTTTTAGGAGAAAAAAATACTTATAAATATATTTCTCCAAACATCGCGCAAACTTTTTTTATTATCGATATTTTTTATAGTGAATATATTCTGAAATTTAATTCCATCGCAGTAGATATGATATCGTTGCAGCATGTTGCAATATTAACAAAGAATTTGCTATAGATTCAAATCGCAAACGATTTGGGTCGAATCAATAACTTTCCTAGAAACTCGAATGAGGTCCGCCCCCTTTGTGCTGCGATCGATTCATTCTCGTTAGTCCGCCCATCAAGCAACGACGTCGATTATAATGGGGTATCGGTTAAAATAGCCAGGTTTGCTCTAAGGCACGTTGAACTTTCATATCAAGGACGTACGGCATACAGATTACAGATCCACCGTGATTTTAAAAATAAAACGAGACAAAAAAAAGAAAGGAACTTGACCCAGTATTCTCAGAATTTTTCTGACGAAGCAGTAAATTGTAGGTCTCTCTGTACGTCAGTACGGCGCGTACTTTAATTCGTCCTCGGTTAAACCTCGTCCAAATTATACATTGCAGCAGATACAATGATGGTTCGTACGAAATAACAGAGACTATTCCTTATACGTGAAAGTGTTAAAGAGAAAGTCGCGTTTTTTTCGCCTTTATTTTATTTTATATATTTATTTTGGTATTGAAATAAGAGTATTGACAAAAGTCTAAACATGCCTTGGCGCTTACAATCCTCTGTCTAAGTCTTCAAGAAATCGTAAGCTTACCGCGAATCAATGATCCCTGACGGAGTTGCCAATCCGTACAGGGTATTTCACTTCGCCGTCTCGTTTGTCGATGCTCCCCAAAGTCCCTGTTCAAGCTTAGAATTCGTTACATGCCAATCCCTTGGCGCCCGGGCTCTTTACACTGATCCATTAACATATAATGGCAGTGGTTGGGCGCGTATTTTAGCGTATATATCATTCAGATATCGCGACGAGCGAACGAAAAGCGACCAATATTTTGTAAGTGTCAGCAGCCAGACGTTGTCGTAAACATCGACCCCATTGCTGATATCTCTCCCTCTCTCTTTTTCTTTTGCGCCCCACAGCGCCGCACGGATATCAATTTTACGACAATTCGACGTGCTAGACAAATACGGAGCTTAAGGTACCGAGCGCGAAAACAATATCGACGGCATATGTCCAGAAGAACCGGGTAAGATTCATGGGAGCCAGGAAAGTGGCCTGGGAGAAAGAAAATGCGGGTATAGAAAAGCCGAGGTAAAATCGTGCACATATACTGTATATTTCACGCCGAGATGTGAGATGTCGAAACGATCAGTGAATTTCGAAAATCGCTCCCAGGATTTCTTCACGCTATTTCACTTGTCGTGTCTCGATTTGATTCAGAGCGGACGTCAGAGATTTTCAGGGAGAGAGGAATTAACGGTTATTCTTCGCGGTCTGTCCGCAAACCAGATTGACGATAATCACGTCAAAGTCACTGGTCGACAATGAATTTTTTAATAATTATTTTCCAGTCCTGTCCTTGTTCAGACTAAGTCCCAGAAATATGTTAATATGAGATTGTGATAACGCAAGAAGCTGAATGCGTAATTTTAAATCCAATAAGGATCGTCATTTTGTATCGCATAAAAAAGTTTCTGTTATAAAATAGCCCGCAGACAATCGAAAATTAACTCATTACGATCCAACCGGGAAACTAAATTCGTACTTTTCTCCGAGATTATCGAGAACTAGCGAGAACGAAATTTTTAATCTCGCCCACCTAATGGAAATCGTAACTTCTGATACTTTAGATATCTGAGAAAAGCGCGTCCCCTGAGAAGAGGGATTAAAAGAAGGTATTAAGAGAGATTTTATTTATTACAGATACAATGAGGTAGTAGACTGTTCACGGAGCACCTGGTGAGAGAGGCGGTTTTTAGCGCGACGGGCGATATGTTGCTGTCGAGCCGCGGCGGCCGAAAGGGGCCCATCGCCTGTCTGGTGGGCCTCCTCCTCATCTTCGCTCTTTATCAGCTGGGCATTATTTGCGGCTCCACCAGATACATGCCTACGGCCGTGATGGTCAGTAAGGAGGTAAGAACGCAAACGGGCACTTCGACCAATCTATAATTCTCCGTTCGAAGATAGAAATCGCGTCCCTCTTCCGATTAATCAACGAGATAAAGAGAGCAAATTCCTTCTCGATTAAAACGGATAAATTCGGGAAGGTATTACATATGTAATTGAAAATGCGCCCACGTATATACTTCCGTTAGAAATTATCCCCTCTATTTAAGCGAGAAATTTTAATTGGCCACTTTGCAACAGCTTCACTTCATTTTCGCTCCCTAGGGCCTCCTCTCCTCGTCCCTCGCGGCGCGATAATAATAATAATAATTAATCGGAATAATAATAGCGATAATATAATACGTGGTGTATTATCGCAGCTAGCGCGGCAGTATCCCTACATTATTAATCAGCAATTAATGGCTATCAAAGTATTAATTGCGCCCTGCAGTTGTTAAAAGCTTCATTTCGCGCAAATTTCTAATCCGAATGAATTTGCCAATCGAACGATACGTGGCCCGGCAATGAGATTCGTGGAAGGAGCTCATTTAAATTTGAATATACTTTGCGTTTAAATTAAATGTTATCTCTACTTTATACGAAATAGAATCTCCTCTGCACTGCGCGCCTTATACATTTATTCCGGCGATGTTTCTCTACCGTAGAAGTACAATTCTTCAATTGAAATAACAATTGAGATATCGGTCGGAAACTTTTCTCAACTCAACAAACCCTCGTCTCTCTCGACGTTCTCATAATTTTCGTCGTAAGTTTTTTTCCCAAAAATTTCTTAACCAGAAACTTTGTTGTTGATTTTCGACTATCTCAAAGTATCGGCTCTTAACTTTATCGACGTCACGCAGAAATACTTTATCAACTCTCTGACATCTAGTAGGACATACATTTTCCGGCACTCTTCAAAAATAATATCTCTGATAAATATCAAGTCATTAAAGTCAAAGATCATTATTTGAAAGAGAAATGTGTCAAAAATTAACATGAATAATATATATTTCTCTTCTCAAAAAAATCGAACAAGCGACTCACACATTGCAGACCTGTACGTACGAAAAATGAGATTATCTTATTACATTTCTTGTCGGGCTTCTGTAATTGCTGCCAGATTAGGAGGAAAAGAAATATGTGTACGAACTTAAAATGTCAGGCCACGTATTAGCGAGCGGGCAACTGCAACTCCTGAAGCTTCATCTTGGCCTTAATCAACGCCAAACTGCCGGTACCGCGCGTATAGAGAAAGGGATGTCCGACGTTCCTGAAGAATAGTTCGACGAACTTGCTCTTACCGACGAAGTCGATACACCAACGACGAGTCTAACTTCCGAGCCAACTCTGCGCCTTTCCCGATCCACTTCCGCCATCCGCCGTCGACTTGCAGGCGCTTTTATTAATTTTCTTGTAGACTTACTTTAATTGCGTTAAGGTAGTTACGGTAAAATACCGGAACGAACGACGAGTAAGAGTTTATATCCCACTTACTTATGAGCGTAACTCGGTAAAAAGTATTTTTTTTTTGTTTTAAGTACAGCGCTCGTATTAGCTACCCAAATGAGATAGCGGTACATGATGCGGGCAAAACCGAGTACCCGTAAAAAACTTTTTTTGGTACAGAATATATGGATAAAGTCATAATTTTTTAATTAAAAACGATAGGAAGTATAAGGGGTGTTTTTCATAAATTAATTTTACATTTAATAAATGACAGAATTTTATTCTGTATTTAATTTCAAATCCGATTCACAGAAACAGACTGGACTGTATTATCGGATTACCGAGATGTTAAAAGTTCACCAAAGCGTGAAAAAGGTCGGCAGACGAATTTTTAGTATAAACCATTTCACTAGTCTTTTTCGAAGACCCACAAAGAACGAAACTGAATAGCTGTAAAACCCTGTGGTAGACGGTCTATATTTCGCGTCGATTCACACACAGGATAGAATTTTATATAATATTTTATCGCATATATTGATGTATGTGTGTATTTTAATATTTGTTTTTTTTTTCATATATGCGTATATTTTGATTCTTCAAATGTTTGTCCTATTACACAGCAAATAAAATTATGAATAAAATTGTATCCTGAATTCCGACACAAATTGTAGATGGTCTAAAATGAGTTTAGGAAATCTTTAGTTTGCAATATCTTTCGTACAGTCTCTAACTGTTATATTATAATTTGCCGAACAGAAATATGTGATCGGGCCATTTGATCGCAAGACGTATACGTACGACCGTTACATGCCGCTCATTTTCATCGGCGGTGTACCACGATCGGGTACGACCCTAATGCGTGCCATGCTGGACGCGCATCCTGACGTGAGGTAAGTGTTGCAATCATCACCCCCTGATAAATCAGAATAAATGAATAAATAAAAATTAATTAAATTCAATTAGAGAAATAAAAAGTATTAAAAGTGCATGAAGGAGATAATTGTATTAGTGTATAAACGTCGGCACTTATAAACTTGTATTGGCCTCGACTTGATTTTTCTGTAAATATCTGTCTATATAGAAACAGCATCCAAATATGAATTTTCATCTTCCAAGAGTGAATAAATTTATATTCATATGTTATAAAAGCATCGTTCGTTTACAAAATAAAATTTTTAATTGTAACTGTCAAGATGACATATTTTTAGCATATATAATCATGTTAAAATGCACGTGTCTGTTGAGACATCACATAAAATTAAAGTTTTGTTCTGAAATCTGATACGAATTATAATATAAATTGTCTCATAGAATGATCTTAAAATTGGGGGGGAGGGAATTGTACGTTCGATCGAATATCTTTGCGAATTTTGTTCAAGGTGCGGGCAGGAGACCAGGGTTATACCGCGGATTCTCCAGATGAAGATGCACTGGTCCAAGTCCGAGAAGGAAAACGTACGACTCACCGAGGCCGGTATCTCGAAAGAGGTAAAGTAAGCCTTTTCATTCTGAAAAGCGCGAAAGAGGGATATATTTCAGCACTGGGACAGATCTGAATAATTTAAGTATCGTCCAACGAAAAAATTCGCAGTGGGAAACAGTTTTCAGTGTTTTTCCTATTTTATCGAGAGTGGTATACCTCTCTTGCTCTCTTAGAAAACACGAGGAGTACTCTCGTAAAACTTCTCGCTGTAACGCAGCATATTTATTCGGACGCTTGCCCCGGTACATTTAAATGTGCATCCCTCTCTCAGCCCCGAAACTAGATGAGGGTTTAAAAATTTGCGCGTACGTCGTTTGAATAATTATATCACTGCGACGTGAAATTATAAAGTTTGCTGTCCGTGTGAATCGTAAGCTGGTCGTGTTAGTCTAAGAGGTTGATGTAAGAGGCTGACGGTAACTCCACCAAACTCTCATCTCTCATGAATAATTAAAATTAAAATTTACGCGTACGAGACTTGACGAGAAATGCGTTTTACAATGCGGATATGGAACGGAGGATCCTTCGGGGCTTCAAGTATCGAGAGTATGCTATTTTTCTTCAGGTGATAGACAGCGCGATAGCGGCGTTCTGCTTGGAAATAATAGCACGACACGCCGAGCCCGCGCCGAGGTTGTGCAACAAGGATCCACTCACCCTGAAGATGGGCTCGTACATCCTCGAGCTCTTCCCGAACGCAAAATTTATATTCATGGTGCGCGACGGCCGTGCGACGGTGCATTCCATCATATCCAGGAAGGTAAAAAAAACTCCGCGTTACGTTATTCTCTTTTTTATTCCAAAAATATATTCGGTTACTCGCGACAGTTATGTCATATTTTTCATTCCTCTATCGAAACACGTTTTAAATAAAGTTACTGATCATATTATTTTTTTTTACTGAGAAGCTTTTTGTTACCAATCACTTTTTGCGATTTTTCCAATTTTCAATATTATAAATTTGTTTATAATGATACACCACTTCCCATGTATTTCTTTGCTTCTTTTTCTTTTAATTATAAAATGTAAGATTTCGGCAGCATGTATTACAATAACAATTTTCTTCAAGTGACGTCTTTTCTCTCACAGGTCACCATAACGGGATTCGACTTATCGTCCTACCGGCAGTCTCTCATCAGGTGGAATCACGCAATTTCCGTAATGTATGGCCAATGCAAGGAACTAGGACCTGAGAGATGTCTGATGATCCCTTACGAACAACTAGTTCTGCATCCACGCCAATGGATGAAGAAGATATTAAACTATCTGGACGTGCCGTGGAACGAGTCTGTCATGCATCACGAGGAATTCATTAACAAACCCGGCGGAGTACCTCTGAGCAAGTAAGCGAGAAGAGCGGAGGAAATGGCAGAGCGTATTTAAACCTAACAGTATTCCGGAATTCGAGCGAGACGCACGTACACATGTTGAAGTAATCCGCTACGATAGAATAATGTTGTTAATCCCGAAACGACGTATTAATGCAACATGATACTTCTCATATTAATAATGCGAAAATGATGTGGCAATGTAATAAATAATCCCTCATGTTGTACCAGAATCATATAATATAATAATACAAATTAATTTTTCGCATTGTCAGCATTGAAGCTAATAATGTGTAATGCGATAAAATGACGTTCTGCTGAAATGATGTTATAACGAAATTAATAGATGTGTACACAAAGTGACGCATTATTAACATCAAAATCACATTTGACGACAGGGTCGAGAGGTCATCGGACCAAATCATAAAGCCTGTAAATCTGGCGGCGCTGACCAAGTGGGTCGGTAACATTCCCGAGGACGTGGTGAGAGAGATGGCGGACATCGCGCCGATGCTCTCTGTGCTCGGCTACGATCCTTACGCGAATCCGCCCGTTTACGGCGCACCGGACAGTTTAGTTAGCGACAACACCAGACGGTACGTGCCCATTTGTTACGCTGCATAGCTGTTACAGTTGTTACATATAGTATTACTCACGAGCGATGTATATTCAAACGGTGTACCGTAAACCGGAATTAAACCGAAATGGGGCGAAATTATTTTGACATTATTGCAGGCATACAAAGCGTACGAAATGGATATTACAGTTGAGCTTTCAATTAATTAAGAAGGTTGTTAAATAAAATATTTCAACATAACTAAACTTAACTTCAAGCTTAAGAGAATCTTGTGATGCGGATTTTTATCATTATTTACACTAAATTATAAATATTTATCGATTAATTATTATTCACTTGGACAATATTCTTATAATAGATAAATGTTGCCTTCATATATATGATTCGATATATCTCGATTCATGTATATTTAATTTCTATCTTTTAGAGTGTTGGCTGGCGAAAAACTCTGGGAGGAGAAGGCACGGGCGTATCACCTATCGCATAGGCCGATCGAGAACAGCAACGAGGAAGCTGCTTCCAGCACGGCCCCAGTCGCGTGACCCCGCGTGATTCTCGTAGGCGCGAGCGACACATAACCGACTAACACCATCCTAAGTCCCATCGATTTAGGATTTCCGTGTATACGGAGACCACCCCCTTGTACTTTCAAAGTAAACTCGGTCTCTCACACGACGGCGAGTCGCGTCGTGAATTAATCGTCCCCTTGTCGTATTTTCTCAGTCTCCTCCGTTATCGCATCCCGACGACGATAGATTAATCGATCATTCCTCGCGTCGCTTATTTATTCGCATCAGGGATCGCGCTTCACGAAGCCAGATGACGTAATATAATAGGCCGTGACAAGAAAATATAGGATGCGGCCAGAAGTAAGCGGCCAAACTTCGACAGACGTGCTGTTCTGCCATTATTTGACAGTCCATGAGGAATCGATGTCAAGCGTTTTCTTCTGCGATACACGTCTCTTCGAAACGAAAAGAAGCGTAAGGTTCATTCCAGAATTAAACTTGTATGAACTTTCTCGGCGTCCTCGCAATATTCTACCGCAGATGAAAACTGTGGAAGCATACAGTATCTGTAACTCAGAAAAAGAAAGAGAGAAACAGCATTTCTAGATATATAACTTCTCTTCTTCGAAACGAGTAGAATAAATTTCAAATGTTTGGTCATTTATTTCTGGAATGTATCCTGTATATTACCGCGATAACTATATAATAGTCATAGTAATATTTTTAATAATTAAAATAGTAAAAATATCAATTTAAAAAATTTGGTGCAAGAATGAAACAAATCTATAATTTATAAAGTTTCCATTTTTATATATTTCATATTTAAAATTATATTTAAATTATTGCTACAAACTCGTTACATTGATTTTTTATTGATTTTTTTGTATAATGCTATTTACAAATTAATTTTGTAAATGATATTTTTAAAAAATTGAAAAGTAAGAAAAATTTAAAAAAGAACTTTTTACTAATTGACTTGTCATTGAATGACAAACATTCTTAAATATTTTCCAGCATTACAAATGTAATGTTGTCGTAATGTTATGAGAGATAGACTCTAAATTGACGGTACCATCATTGTCTATTATCTATGATCGAGAACAATAAGCGTGAGATGCGTCACACTAGCGATAAAACAACTTCGAACGTTATGTATTACGAAAGATCGGATCTTATAACAAAAGTTATCGTTTCAGTGGAATTCTATAGCGATAGAAAAATGCGAAGAATGACATTTCCTAACTGTCGCGTTTTTATGTCAATTGTTGTATTACATAGACGAATATAGGAAACCCATTTTCGTGTACTCATAGAAAATTAAGTTTCGCGAAATCGGGTTCGGCCTTCTTTTTATTAAATGACATCGACCAACAACGGCCAGTGATTTTAAAGAGAAGCATTTAGTGAGTACTTAGGGGCAAAGAAACTTCAGACGTGCAAAGAACGGGAAATTAAATACTACTCTCTTTCTTTCCCTTCACAAATAAATCTCTGGTTGGTTTAGAGGGATATAATCCAGCGCGAAGTTTTAGAACCATTCAACGTTAAATAATACGGTTATCCGGTACATGGGACAAAATTATGTAAAAACGAGTTAACCTGCCAAAGTAGCAATTTTGAATAAGTTGATAACTTTGAGTTTCATGTCGCTGACACAGCAGTGTGCGCTAAGTACATACAGCTTATATTTATTTTTGTTTTTAATGTTCTGGGGGTAAACTCGTTCATGCATAATACCGTCCAGTTTAATGTATGCATGTCTACAAAGTTCGCGAACTGGCGTTTTTATCCTTTGTACCTCCACCGTATCGTTTTCGTACCACTTATTGTATTGTATCAATTTGCGTGAAATTAAATGAAATTGTTCATGTTCGCCATATTTTTTTTAGATAGCATAGTTCATCCGTGGCGTTTTATGTAGACCATTTTCGATCGATATCTATTTAAAAAAAAATAATAAATTACGAATATATTTCTGATATGTATTAGAAATTGATATTGGATTGGTGCCAAAGCTTTGTTATTAAATGTTAATAAAATTTTATTTCTATAAATCAAAAAGTACTTAACAAAATATAAAAAAATGTTTTCCTTTCAATTTTCTCTTTTCAAACAATTTAATATTCTTCAATTTTTTATTAAATCAGAGTTTAATGAAAGAATGACGAAGCTTTTGGATCAATTTGATGTTTACGTAAGTGTAAATAATATCCATGAACTCAACCATAATGTGCGACACATTTTTGTTGTTCATGGATCCTAACAGTTATATTATAATTTTGAAGAAAGAATTATGCTGTTATGATTGTAAATGGCAGCAGACATGCATAGGCTTGTCGAAATCTATCTGTCAAACTGTGCAATTAAATTATTTTAATATTACTGCTGTTGTATCCAATCTGTTCCTCATCTCACCTATAATTGGCGAGAAAAGGAGCCTATACTTTATTTCAATATCACGTATATTTTATCACAAAGTTACAATTCATATATTTTAAATCATTTCAATTATTAATTTATTATATTATAGAAAAAATCAATTTCTCTCATATTTAAAACTAGTGGACATTAATCTCGTGAAAAATGGAACATTTTATAGCAGAGAATTTTAATGATATACACATTTTTTTAAAATACTTAACAATGACAGCGTTGCTATATTATGTTAATATCTTAATATAATATGTTAACATAATTCTAACATAATTCTTTTTTATTTATTATTAAATTTAAATAGTGTCATGATCTGAACAAATTTACATATTAGTATTGGAATAAGTTGACTTATTAGATTTGGGGAGTTGTGTTTAATATGAAAGTCAATTTTTAATATACATTGAGCAAATATCTAAGAACGTGAGAATAATATATAAAAATATATTTCTTAGTAATTTTTCTATTTATCGATTCTAATGTAAATCTTCGTTTTTTTTAAATTCAATGATATTTACGTTATGTAGCTTCTACGACGGCTTTCGATATTTCGCCTGCACCTTAACTCTGTACATTTTTAACTGTTTACCTCTATTAACTTGCAGTCTTCTATCCACGAAATTTTGTTCCTCGACGAAGCCGTTATCGGTAAATAACTTTCTAATATCCTCTGAAACATTTTAATAGAATGTTCAGTTAAATGTTAAAGTATCAAATTTCAATTATTAATGATTCAACAAATTACAGTTACAATTATAATTTGGAAATAGATTTATAAAATTTTTGCTCATAAAATTGAGTTTATGAATTATAATGCAATAAGGGTAATATTTAGATTATAATACTAATTCTATATCATAATTTCAAAGATGTTTACACACCTTGTGAAAAAAAGTACACTCTGGTGCCATCTCCACGCACATAAAAATTCTCGCCGAGGCACTTGCCCTTCTTAAATCTCAATTGTGCTAAATCGTGTCTACCATAATCACGGAACAAAATTATTCCACCCGGTTTAAGGTACATATAGATTTGCCGCACAACGTGTTGCATCCTGCAGAATATATCAAGAAATATATTAACAGCTTTCTTTACGATGCCTTTTTGAATACCTTCTGATTTGCTAATTTGATTTTCCACATATATATTATATATTGATAGGTATTTATACAATTTATGAATTTTTTATAATTTTTAAAATTATGATTTGAATATAAAATGTATCTTTATATATACATGTATATATATATATATATATATATATATATATATATATAAATTAATAATATAAAACATACTTGTCTGGATGAATGGCAGACAATACGAATATAAGAACAATGATGTCTAGACTTTCAGTCTCAAAAGGAACCGTCCATGTTTCCTGAGTTACGTCCAGAACAAATGCTTTACATCTGAAACAGATAATTACTTATAAATTATACAGCGTTGAATAACTTATACTTTCTATTAGGTAATGTTAAATAAATTGATTCGAATTGTTAGAACACTTTACCTATCTACATTATAAGCAGGATTTTGTTTTAATATATCGATGGCTTTTGCCGAAAAATCACAACAATATACAAACAGCTTCGGGTCTGTGTTATACATGAGTATAGGAAATACAGTGTTTCCTACACCACAGCCTATCTCCAATATTCTACAATTGTCTTTACACGGTAAATCGAGAATTTTTATGTGTTTGTCACCATAGCTTTCATCTTCGACCGTAAATGCAGCTCTCATGGGCATTTTTGTGTCCTGTTTTACAGTATTGGGCGCTAACTCCGGAAACTCAATCAGCAACCAATGCCTGTCTTTAAAAAACCTACAACAATAAATGTATTTTAAGTAAAAATTCATATCACTGATTCAGCGAGATTTAATATTCGACTGATTACATTATCGAATATTTAAAGTTTAATGGAGAAAATATTTTTCTTAGACCCTACGTACCCGTTATTGTGTATACCGTAAAATTTGTCCCAAAATTTATCCGCTTCAGTTTCATATTTAAAGAGCTGTTCGGATGACATTGTAACAATGGAATTCTCGTTCACTTTCTGCTGCGCTAACCTCTCTTGCTCCTCGTCCCATGTGACGTTATCCCTTTTAGAACAGCAAATTCAACCATTAAATATTTAATAATAGTAATAATAGTAATAGATATATTGAATGAACAAAATTGAGGCTTTACTATGTTTTTATTTTCACTAACAGAACATATTAGTAAATGTATATAAAATTATAACAAAACCTATTTAATTTTGGTTTAATAAATTCGAATATTTAACAAAATTAAGTTAATTAATGAAACATGAAATAACGTAAAAAATAAATGAGAAATGTAATCACAAATTATTTAAATTTGCTTGTCTTGGCGTGTATAACTGCGTGTATAACGAAATAGATGCATTCTTTACGAGAAAATAAAATATAAAATGTTTGGATATATTTATTACATATGAAATCGTGCGAAATAATATTGCGAAAGTAATGTCAACACCAAAACGCCCCCAATTTCTAGGTTAGGGCACATTTAATTTTCATACAGCAAATGTAATCTAAAGTTGCCAATTGTCAATTTTTCGAACAGAAGAAAAATATGACTTGAATACATATATTAGAATAATTTAAGTCTAAAAAACCGATCGCAATAACTGTCGCTATTAATGCATGCATTTTTTTTACTCTGCGGCCGATTTTAGGTTAGGCCGAACATGCGCTCGATCAAATGTCAGATCGAACGATGTCACGCGCGGCCGTGCACGTGGTGCCACGACGTACCATGCATTGTGCCGAAAGACGTCTCCGTCGTGGGGTAAATTCCGCGTTCCGAATTGCGGCCTCCCCGTTTCCCTGTCGTCGTTATCCGCGACCACCGCCGCCGCTTCGGCCATGTTCGAGATTGTTCGAGATTTTCGAGAACGCGACAGGAGACACGATCGCGGGGGCGGCGGAGGCCGCAGGGCGCACGTTCACTCGCGCGGCTCGCGTCGTTTCGGCACCTTTCCCGTCGCGACGATTCGGCCACCGACGGGGAAGACACGCCGGAGGAAAGGACGATGATCGTCGCTAATCGTCGCCAGCGAACGTATAGAAGTCATTCTCGCGTACCCTTCGCGTGCCGAAAAACGAGAGACATTCCGTGAAGCTGTACCGATCGCATCGATACGGGAATACTGTTATCTCCATTTTTCTCTTTTTGGAAAAAAAAACGACCCTTTGATTTAACCGCGATGTCAGATAGTGAAAGATAAAAAAAAATATAAGAATGAAATAATTAAAAGGTATTAATAACAATTTTTATATCGATTTTATATACGTATATCGACTTCTCTTGGGCTCAAATAAATCTTGCAGTTACGCGCACGCTTTTGCAATGCAAATCATGAGTTTTTCGGCCATTTTGTAAAGCTTACAAATTACAATTAAATTTGTTCGTTTCAGTTATATTGTCTCTACGCGTTTTTGTTTGAATTTGGCTGTCAAATTATTAAACTATCAATTTTTTCAATTTTTCGAAAAATTACATTATACTATGCATGTTCTTTTAATTACGTTTTTCATTTTAAAGGAGCTCCGTATTATATTAATTTTTACGCGTTTATTAATTTGTACTTCAAACTATATATATACACTTCAACTTTTGCGCCAATGTATATTATTCGTATTAATAATTATATAATTATCTTATACATAAAACCGAAGATAGCAACACAAGAAAATCGATTTGAAGAATCGATAAAGAGATGTAAAGATCTGTAGAAGCTGCAGAGAGATAATAATGCAGCTGAATGAAACAGATCTATTCCTGTCAAACATGACAGGATGAAATATCCGTTAACAATAATAATGGCGTCTCGGTTCTCTAAATATAGACTCTATATTTTATTTTTATGATAAACGAACGTGAAGCATTTCGGAGACACAAATCACGCGTCTCCGCATCCTCTCTCTCTCTCTCTCTCTCTCTCTCTCTCTCTCTCTCTCTCATAGAATTAATTAAATTATAGTAAGGATCAGTTTTACTTTTTTCGGCGTGCGAGCAGAATCGCACGACGCATGCCGCGTACGTATTTTCGCGGCGGCGTGCGTTCGATAGCGCGCGCGGCCGCAGGATCAACGACCTAAGGAAAGTGATATAGGTTAGGTTGAGGGTATGCGCGCGAGGTATGCGGAAGCGGGATGGGTGTGACGCGACGCGCCGCGACGCGAGGGGCGCGAGTTGCGGGGGTGGCGCGAGAGTTGCGTCACCGGATGCTCGATATCGTGCAGGAGCGAAATTCGCGCGCTCGTTGCACTTGAATCCATTTTTCTCTCTTCCCCTTCTGCTTTTTTTGTCTTTAGACACTTAGGCGCGTACTCTTAAATTGCCGAGATTTAGAATTTTTATTAGTATATATGTATAAAGCATTTCACTTGTATGAACATTCGCGAGATCCCGTTATGGAACGTATAATATTCGGGACCAAGTACACTTTCTTATTTTGATACACATGCGAGTACCGAGAGCAAATCTGAAAATGACAAACCTGATAGTCTCAAGGAACAGATGGATAATCTGATATCTCCATCTGGTCTGCATGCTATGGTCTTCTAAATACGTATCTCCGCTTGGGCCGACTATTTTTAGAAAAATCGATTTCGAAGGTACCAATCGGCTTAGCGGAAAAACTGCCCTATGAGATACAGACGAATTATGTCTAAATTAAGAGAAACTGATTTGCATCTGTAAATTAAAAGGATCTTTTTGAATGCAGTGAATGGAGAGAGAAAAAGATCATACGTGTAAAACACTGATTTTATATTTATTTTTCATTCAAAACACGTTTACTGTTTTAAAGTATTAAAGTCAACATATAATTTTTAACATTGTAGAAGCTAACAGGAATATATTTGATAATTTTAGAGTGAATCACTGATATTCAAAGCTTAAAACTTTAAAGTTTTGAAAAAAAAAACTCTAGTCCTTCATTGACTTCTTTGAGAGTCGTTCCATCTTGTCCTTTCGAGCCTTCCTCCCCCATTTGCGCAACGTTACACGCAGAATTACGAATTCGAAATGTTAATTCATTAATTCTAAGTACATGGTACACATTGACTGCAGAGATACGAATTCGCGTCGCCCGTCATTCAGATCGCAAGGGTATTTCCTCTTCTTATCGTCCTTGTTCGATTTGGCCGGCTCTCGCGCGAGGACATGCCGCGCGATCGTTCGCGAGGTTCATACGCGAGGACGCTTTTCCGTTAACGACATGGCCCTTCGGCGAAGCGAGAGGCGAGGAAACGAAGCACGGAGAACGCAACGAGAGACGCGAAGAGGGCGAGAAGAGGAGCGCGCGCGCGCGATTCCTGGCAACCGGTTGCCAAGGGCCACGAGGTCCTCGCGCCGCTCCTGCACGCGCCGCCTCGTCGTGGGTGGCTACCGTGACGTCCTAATCCTGCCGCGAGTCCCTAGGGGCGAGATCGATACACACCGTGATCCGTTTCCCTTTCCCTTTCCCTCCCCCTCCCTATCCTCCTCCGCCGCGCCCGCTCCTGTGTTTTCGCGCGCGACGGTTTAGCGCTCATCGATCTCGCTCGGCGAACTCTCATCGGAGACGAAAAAAAGGGCGGAGGGGAAAAAAATAAAAGGTGAAAAAACGGGAAAGCCTGATTCTCCTACTCGCTCTCCTCGCTCTTCCGAAAACGGGATGATCTCGTGCGCTCCAGCTCGTAAAATCGCGTCGTTGGAAGAAAACCGCTTTGATTTGGTTACAAGTAACGATTGAAGTTCGAAGGCGCTTCTCGTTAACTCGATCGATACGTTAATCCCTGATTGCAAGTGTTATAATTTCGTTAACGACTCTTCTCCGGGAAATTCTGGCGCGACAATCTCACAATGAGTTTTCGATCGCAACGAATATGCTTTGTGAAACTTGCAGCTCTATTAGAGGCCATACTATTGAACACATCCAATTCTTCCGAGATTTATTTCAATATACTTCTTTATTTTTATAATTTTGGAAAATAATCTCGTTTAAAAAGATGTATAAATGTATTGAATAATTTAACTATAATTCAGCTTGTAAATTAAAGATCAATATACGTTAGTGATATTTGACCTAGGACAAGTTCAACGCGAATGCAGCCTTTTCCATTCGAATCTTTTCGGACTCCGCAGATTTTAAACTTTTTTTTTCAGATCTGTTTGAAACTATTATTAGAGTCTGCCCTCGGACAATCCTCACGGCAATCCACAAAGAGTCTCTTATACGCGACGCTTCTTGGACCCTCGGCCAATCGTCATCTTGCTCTCTTTTGTTCCTGCGACCCGTACGGTTTCGCGACCAAAGGAGGGACGAAGAGAAAGGGCAAGATTTGACCTTTTCGAGGGGATGGCGGGACGGGTAGGACAAGGGTTGGTTCGACGCCTGTCTTTTGGGGCATCGGCCCTTGCCTCGTCGAGGCAGGGCGAGCAGGGGCGGACGAGGAGGACCTACGCGTTATTGAGCGGCCATTTCCCACAAAGCGCAGACGAGGGCAACCACCCCGACGAAGCGCGCGGAATCCTCTTTCTCTCTCCCTCTCTTTGTCCCTCCGTCCTCTCACCAGCCCGACTTCTCTACCCTCCGTCCTCCGCCCTCGTCCTTTCGTCCCTTTGCGCGCTGCTCTCCCTTCGGTCTACTGCGAGCGGGAGAGAACCTTTCCGAGACACGGATAATGCACCACCTGCATCGACGCATCTTCGAAAATTTTAAGCGTATTTTACACGCTTCTGCCTTCGCGTCTGCTTGTTCTCGTCTTAATTCTATACCTTCCGTAATTACGAAAGTGTTTCTAAACTGCTATCACAAGCATGTTGGTTTATATTACAAGAGTATAGTTTCCTAAATAGAAAGAGAATTTAGAATTAATTCGACATTATTCAATAAGAATGTGAAAGATAAGGCGAAAATAAATCGGAAAATAATAAATAATGCAACAATTGTTGTTCAATATATATTAGTTGAAACAATATATATGACTTTTTTGTTAACATATTCTGAAATATATTATTGAATATTATATATATATTATATTCTAGTAAAGCCCTCCATTTGGGTTCGTTGTCGTTTATTGATTGA